TTTTTTGGGGAAATTTTCTTTATATGCATCAAAATATATCATTTTTTTTTATGTTTGCTCATCATTTTCAATCAGGTGCCTTTTCTTTTTGGGGTAACTGCTATCGAGAAAGTTGCTGGTCATGTTATTCATTGGATATTCCGAAGAACGGGCAGACACCTTTTTCTTACTGACAATGATGAAGGAAAGCCTCCATTGCTTAAGCGCATGTTAGAAGATAATGAAGAATACTGTTTTATGTAAAAAAAATTTATTTTCTCATATGGCTTCAATTGGATCATAAGTTCTTAGCAGAATGTGAAAATTTTCACGAATGTTATATCAACTTTTACGTATGCAGGTCGGCTTTGCGATCTTTCCGGCGCAGGGTAGCATATTCGAATGTTGGCTTTGACCGTATCCATGATTTATGACTTTATTTATCTAACCTTTTTGTTTTAAATAGCTAGTTAGCGTGTTCTTTTAAGTATCCATTGTTATTAGTCCTAACAAAGAATGGGTCAGATATTGTCGGTTGGAGGACATCATCAATCAGACGCAACAGTGAACTGCCCAAGGTAGAATCTTGAAAACTGGAGATTGGAGATTTTGAAAAATTGGGATAAAAGCCCTTGAAATTTTTTTATTTGTTTATTTATTTTTCTAAGTGTAATGGGGGTAATCGTAATAATTTAACAAATATAAGACTGTTGATGGAAATGCTTATGAATATGTTATGTGGAGCTTAACAAGTAATCAACCTTTGGTCCCTTTTCTGATAATCACAAACCTTTGGGTATTCTTGCATTTAGTTCAAACCTTAGGTATTCTTTCCTCTATTTCTTTTAATTGCATATTTAGACTTCCAATTATTTGACAGTGGGAGAATTCTGTTCATGAAAAATATCCCCACATAGTGTTTGAAGAGCGGTGCAAGGCTTGTGACAAGGAACAAAACGAGTCTGTGATCGAAGACAATGCTCCGGATGATGAGCTGGAAGGTCCGTAACATTCTATTTTGATCTTCATACACAATTTTGACGATACAAATTACTGTTTCAATAGTTCGTCCCCAAACTGAAGCCTAATAGTTCAATCCCATTTTCTTCCTTAGAACATAACTTGGGGATGATATAGTTTAGAAGTTTATTTGCAGTAGAATGTGAATTAGCGATGGTTTGAAAAAATAATTTGATGTGATTGGTGATTACAAACATGTTGCACGTGAAAATCATTTCTGTTAGTGTTAATTTATATTCTCCACTGTAACTCGAGAACAATATG